TGACTCTTTCCTCCAAGGTGCTCAGGGTAGCCGATATGCTTCTCCCTTCCTTTGGTTCATCCTCATAATCCCGTGAGATGGATTAGGTTGAGATTGTGTGACCAGCTCAAGATCATTCAATTAACTTTATGGCAGAGTGGAGAGTTTGAACCCGGTTCCCCTCCATGCCGTAACTACCGTGCCCTGTCACCAGCAGCTTTCGAAGGCTCTGCAGTTCCAAAATTGGCTTGGAAGTGCAGCACGAGGGAGATGTGTGAGCTGTTGTCTGCGAAATACAATTCCCCAGTCCCTTGAGCCGTTTGGAAGCCTCTGTGTGGTATTTTGGTTCTAGCCCTCCTGTTCCGGTCGCCTTGAAAAACCAGGCGTTTGATCCGGACTCCCTGTGTCCCTTGTAGTTCTCGAGTATGACCCCTGACAGATGTGATCTTTCTTTTTTAGGAGAAGAATTCGTTCCTCAACTACAACGTTTCCTGCATCCTGACGATGCCTCAGTACATGAGACAGGGTTATGGCAAAATGCTTATCGACTTCAGTAAGTAAGGCGCTTGGGTCGTCTTGTTTTGAGCAGCTTGCTCCTTGTAGACAGGATCGACGCGCACACATACTGATATAATAAACCCTGGATTATCGTCTCAGTCATGGAACAGATCATGATTAAAAATGCAGTAGGTGATCACTTAACAATGTTATGCACCCATCTGTATGCTACTGCGGGGCTAATGATACCACCTCTAAAGTCCTGTGTGACCTGCGCCTGTACTGTGTGGCTCACTCACCAACTAGGGTCATTGGGCCAATTTATTTTCACCTTTCCCTCACAGAAGAGGGGTGATCTAAATCATCCCATTCAAGGGGTTTTTTGGGGGGGGTCGTTGGCAATGTTCCCTCTAAGCTGTGGAGTCTTGTGAGCAAAAATTCTACTTTGTGAGCTACTGACGTTAAAGTTGTGAGCAAATGATTTGGCTACTGCATAAATTAGTTTGCTCTGGAGCCATCCTTCCTGAGCTGAGACAAAAATGTGTGAGCTGGAGGCTAAAAAACTGTGAGCTAGCTCACACTAACTCAGCTTAGAGGGAACATTGGTTGTTGGCCTTGCATTATGGAGGGGGCTCCCAGTGGAGGCGAACGGGACACCTTTGCTCCCTGTTTTCGTCAAACTTTCCAAGTCTGTGTTTTTTTTCTTTTCCTTAAAGGCAATTTTTTTTTGCTGGAATTGAATCAACTGCGGCTATTTAGCGGATTATGTGGATCTTTGACTTGTTTCTCATATGAAGACAATTTGTAGCTGCGTTTATCATGGCATTTTTTAATGCTGTAAAGTGGCTGGGGTTTAGTTTGTCCAACGAAAGGCAGTCTGTAAATATATTACTAAACTGAATATTGTAATATTTTGGAACATGTCACGACTCTCCCCTAGGCTGCTAGATCAGAACAAATGTGGCCAGCATCCTTTTCCATAGTAGATGATGACAATTTTGATAATTGTTTGTTGGTGTGTATAATGCAAAAGACAAACTTTTGCAGCATAGCGGGGTCAGTACCCCTTTCCCCCCCCCAGTACTGACAAGAGTGAGCTCCTGCCTGGAGTCTCTAGCCTTTCTGTGCTCTGCAAAGAATCTCACTCGGAGTGAATGTGGTTAACAGGTTCCACAGTGAATTCTGTGTGTACAGAATATTCTAAATGGACTGCTTTGGGGACACTGCCTTCAAATATTCTAATCATGCTACTAAGAGTTCCAAGTTATGGCTCGCTATCCAGGGGGTGGAATGGCAGTCTGGAGGTCGGCTAAGTGAGGGTCCCAGTGAGTCTGATCTCTTCTCTTCTCCAGGCTATTTACTTTCCAAAGTGGAAGAGAAGGTTGGCTCCCCAGAACGGCCACTTTCAGACCTGGGCCTTATCAGCTACCGTAGCTATTGGAAGGAGGTCCTTCTTCGGTATTTGCATAACTTCCAAGGCAAAGAAATATCTATCAAAGGTAAAGCTTTGGGAGGGGAATATATTAGTAGCAAACTGCCTCTTTCTGCTGTGGTTTTTTTCTTTGGTGATCGCCAGCACCCAAAATTGCTTATAAACAAAACCGAGTATTGTAGGAGTAATCTATGCAGATGTTTTAACAGTTGCTGCTCCTGCTCCTGGGAAGTTGTAAGAGGAAGCCACAAATGGACCTGCCTGGGCCCCTCTTGATGACATCATCTGTTTACCTTTCATACAACACAAAGTCATTGAATAATTTATTCCAGGGACAGTCTTTAAGTCAGCCTTGCAGATATGAATTTTTCTGTTTGGTTTATGGAGACATGCAAGCTTGTATGTGGATACACACAAACACACACAAATCTGTGCAAAAAAGCATCCCTGAATCTGTTAACTCATGCAAATTGTGCACATGAAGTATACTTTATTCTGCCTCAGTCATCTGGAGGGTTAAGAGACTATGTGGGACGTTGCAATCTTACTTAGCTTCTCTGACTACTGCTATTTTATGCTAGGCTTAGTTACATGTTTTCTTTTTTCTTTTTCTTTTTTTAATTTTCTCCAAAAAAAAGTGGGATACAAAAGGGAAAAGGGTAGGGGAAAATATAGATTCATCAAATTGATCAAATATTATGGGTTGTTACATACAACAAGTAAAATCAGATTAGTAAGAATCAATGCTCCCTCTAAGCTGTGGAGTCTTGTGAGCAGTAATTCTACTATGTGAGCAACTGGCATTAAAGTTGTGAGTGAGCGATTTGGCCGCTGCATCAATTAGTTTGCTCTGGAGCCATCCTTTCTGAGCTAAGACAAAAATGTGTGAGCCAGAGGCTAAAGAACTGTGAGCTAGCTCACACTAACTCAGCTTAGAGGGAACACTGGTAAGAATACATATTTCAAATATTGACGCAGACAATAAAACATCAATATTACAGTGTTTTGGAATGGGTTCTCTCTTTAAAAGAATCAACAAGACCTTTCTTAATGTTAGCGATAATCTTATATGCAATAAGAGAGATTACATCTTTAACAGCTGAACAAACTCCTACACTAAGATGAAATCATTATTAAAACCTGAAATATGTCTTGTTTGTCAAAATCTAAGTTTTATACTAGTGGAATACTACATAAAAAGATTAAAACAATAATCAATATCTCCATCACCTTTAATAGGATGTTCAGAGAATTCAAAAAATCAAAAGAATACATACACACACACACACACACACACACACACATATATATGTAGAGAGATTGGATTTATACCCCACCCTTCACTACCTGAAGGAGTCTTAGAGTGGCTTACGATCTCCTTTCCCTTCCACTCCCCACAACAGACACCCTGTGTGGTTGGTGGGGCTGAGAGAGCTCTGAGAGAACTGCTTGTGAGAAAACAGCTCTGAAAGAACTTGTAACTGACCCAAGGTCACACCAGCAGCTGCATGTGGAGGAATGGGGAATCAAACCCAGTTCTACCAGATTAGAGTCCGCGCTCCTAACCACTACACCATACTAGCTATTCCGATAGTATGTGTAATAAGCTTGCCATTTCTGCTGAAATTCTTTCAATGGTCTTCTGTTTATATAAGTAGTTAGTTTTGCCAATGTTGCATACTCAGCTAGTTTTTGTTTCCAGATCTCTGTTGTAGGACAGCCTTCTGTCTTCCATTTAATTGTAAATATTACTCTGGCAGCTAGTTACGTGTTTTCAACCTGTGTGCGGCCATAAAGAATTCTCGGAGAGAACTGTGGAAGAAGTTCTGTCCCGTATCTGTGTTCCTGATTCAGCTGCATCTGAAAGCCAGAGTTGGCAGGAGATGAGGACATCTCTTTGCCTGGTCGTCCCAGTGGTCCCCTTTTATTTTTGCTCCCCTAATGTCTCTCTTGTCTCTGCGTTTCAGAGATCAGCCAGGAGACTGCTGTCAACCCTGTCGACATCGTTAGCACCCTACAAGCTCTTCAGATGCTTAAGTATTGGAAGGGCAAACATCTGGTCTTAAAGAGACAGGTAAGAGCGTGTCTGCTCACCCACAAGTGCCGTGCTGGCCTCTGCGTTAGGTCTAACCTTCAGTCTGTCTCTTGCTTTTTGTTTCCTTGCTGTTCTGTCCTAGATTTACGTTGAGGGGAAAGACTGTTTTACCTCAGAGGTTTGGGAACCCTGTAGTACATTGCTGTTTTACCTCAGAGTGCAAATCTGTTGATATAATGCTGCTGTCCGGCATGTTAGGTAGCACTTTCACATATCCCAAGTATTTTGAATTCATTGGGTCGGATGGATCCTGCTAGCGTTTTTGTTGCTTTCACTCGCTCTTGCCCAACTCCCATCTTCACTACAGTCCCCCAATGGCATTTAAGAAGAAGTGTCGTGATGTGTGGTTAAGAGCAGAATGGCCTTCTCCTTACAAACTGAACCTGAACAGCCTCTTTTTTGCTATCAGCTCGCAGCCGACTTGTAGCCACCCCGTAGGGTTTTCAAGGCAAGAGACGTTCAGAGGCGGTTTGACATTGCTTGACTCCGAGTTGCAGCCCTGGGCTTCCTTAGGGATCTCCCATTCAAGTATTAGCCAGGACCAGCCCTGGTTGGTTTCCAAGATATGATGCACTCAAGCTAGTTCTGGCCATCCAGGTTAGTGCAGTGGCCTTCTAAATGCACTGATTTCCTATGAGACATCAGGGGGAACAGGATAACCCCCCCCAAAAAAATAATTTTCATTCACTACCAGGGACAGGAGGAATAACAGAGGCTTAAAATTATTTGCAGAGGTTATCACATGGCTGTAACATTTCAGCTGCCAGCTCCTGGGCGAGCAGAACAATTAACAGGCAGTCTTTTATTTCTGAGGTGAATACTGGCCTTCCCTCAGCTTCAAGCATTCATAATGTAAATATGAGCTCCTCCCACAAATATTTGGCCAGTTTCCCTCAGTAACCCGCCCTAAAAACAGTCACAATCTCTTCCTCAAGCCATCACTATATTAGCCTACTAAGTTTGATTTGATTTATTAAATTTCTACCCCGCCTTCCTGGCCTAGGCCATCTCAGGGCGGCTTACATAAAAACAACATAGAATAAAGATTAAACAGCATCAGTTAATACAAATAACAATTCTAAAACCATAAAACATAATGAAGTGCTAGTAGCGATGATTCCGCAGCGGTGGTTGTTGTTGAGTTCTCTCATCTTGCAGTCGGCTCCTTGATCGTCTTAGATTGTCTTAGGCCAGGGGTGTCAAATTCATTTGTTTTGAGGGCCTGATCTGACATAAATCAGACCATGTTGAGCCAGGCCATGTGTGTCACAAAATGTAATGCCAGGTAGTGGAGATATAAACTTTATAAAGGACACAAACACAAAGGTTTTTTTTTTACTTAAAATAAAAACGTGCTTAAAACATTAGCTCTGTAAGCTGCAAACCTACTTTTGATTTATTGACGTTCACCACAGAAATCTCACGCTCAGAGTTCTGAGTCTAGGACCCAGGTTAAAACATGAAATGGCTGAGTGATTAAGAGAGTCTGGTGAAGCAAGCTATGATGCAGCAGCAGAAGAAGAATTGGAAACAGGAGATGGCTAGTTCCACTGTGGGCCTGATAGAAGCTCTCTGGGAGCCTGATCCGGCCCCCGGGCCACATGTTTGACACCCCTGTCTTAGGTGGTTAGTTCAGGCTATAGTTAAAGTCCCAGGGGAAACAGGGCTCTCCGACCATAGGCTGTCAGTTGTTAGTAGTGGCGGCAGCTGCAAAAGCCTGGTGGAAGAACTCTGTTTTATAGGCCCTGCAGAACTATAAAAGGTCCCGCAGGGCCCTGGTCTCTTCCGGGAGCTCATTCCACCAGATTGGAGCCACCACCAAGAAAGTCCTGGCCCTGGTTGTTGCTAGCCGGGCCTCCTTGAGACTCAGGAGGGCCAGCTGATTCTGGGCCGTACTCCCAGACTCCTAACCTCTGGCGCTCATTCCCTAACTTCTGGGGGGAGGGGTCCTTGGAAGGCTGCTATATGCAAATCTCTCTTGTCCTATCAGTAACTTTCCTCAAACTTTTAACTTGCACCTTTTTCAACCCCCCCGTTTTAGGATCTTATTGACGAGTGGATAGCCAAAGAGGCCAAAAGGTCCAACAGCAATAAAACCATGGATCCCAGCTGTTTGAAATGGACCCCTCCCAAAGGAACTTAATGGACCCACCTCTCCAGGAAGCGTGGGTGTCCCACCTGCCGCCGCCACCGTCCCCTTTCCCAGCATTGAGACCTGCCCCGTGGGAATCAGTGGATGTGTCGTTGGTACCAAACCCCCTCTTCCATGTGCTCTCCAGGTTGCCCTGTTCTGTCTGGGGCTGCTGGACCCCAGTCCCCTTGTACACGACAGCCGATCCTGCTTCGGAGAAATTTTCTTGCACGCTGGCCTCGGGTGAGGATGCCAAGATCTGAGGGCTTTGTGCACAGCGCCGAGGTGGTCCCGAGGTGCAGCCGTGCTGGCTAGTTTTGTCTTTTCCCACCCACTGCTCCTTGAGCCTCGGAGGTCATCTTCGCCCCTAGCGGGAGGTGTCTTGTGTCTCAGCATCTTACTGGTTCCGGCCTCCCTGCTCCCACAGCCACTTTGTAAGTGTGAACGCCTTGCCTCCCACCCACCCTCCAGGCACTAGTGGAAAGAAATCAACACCCATTTGGGCTGTCTCGGGATACACAACGTGCTGCATCCATCAGCAGGTCTGAGCATGGCCCAGATCTCGTCACAGGAGTCCGTGCATGGAGCCTTCCACACCTCACGGTTCTTTCTGTCTCCCTCAACACACACTGTCCTCAAGGGCTCTGGTTTCAGGGCTGAGGGGACACCATTCCTACCGTTCTGTTCCTTTCTGTTTCGTGTCATTCCTTTTCGGTCAGAATGTTTAGGTGGTCCGTCTGCACCAGGCCCTTCCTTCGCAGGGGGGTTGCACAGCTGATTCCCCACGACAGTGTGTGCGTGGCATGTCCTGGCACCTGATGTGCCACTGAGTGAACTCGTACTTGCAGGGCCTCGTTGGGAGCGAGGGATGCCACCACCTGAGAAGCATTCACGTTCAGCAAGGTCCTCCTTAGCTAGCCAGTCTGTACACACACTTTGGAAGAATTTGGTTGGTTTTCTTTTCTTTTTTAATTGCAGGGAGTGAGAGTCTCCAGATCAGCACCCAACCCCTCAGCAAAGTGCCTTCTGCCCTGGCCTTCCTCGCCCTTTTTTGGCTTTCCTTCTGATCCAAAGAAAGCCACAGCCCAAGGGAGAGACGTCTTCAGCAGCGTCAGTTGGGCAGCAGCTGCTGAAGAGGCTGCCCCAGCGTCAGCCCGCACACCCACGGCGACTTGCTTCCAGACCCGGCGTGGCTTCTCACTTGTGGGGAGGCCACCAAATCTAGGGCGGCTTGAGCTGCTGGCTGCAGGGTCAAATCTCCACCTGGGGGCATTTTGCGTGGCAGCTGTGCCGACCTGGCAGCAGGCCAGTGGTCCTGCATTCTTTTTTTTTACCGTTTGCAGCCCCTCGTCTGCTGTTCCTGGGCCATCCAGGGCCGACAGCTTGTTCTCCGTCACAGCCTCGGTCTGTCTGACCATTGGTCACTTTGCAGAGTGTTACGTAGGGAAATATGGTTCAGCA